TCCCATAAAACATGAATTTCCAGTAGTCCAGCCAGGCAAACAGGACAGAACCAAAATCTGTTTCAGAGAGTCTTGTGACCAAAGGCATAGCTGTGTTTGGCCTATCACCACTTTAAAATATCAACTCTTTAATCATAATAGCAAATGAAATTCCATAGAATTGCAAGGGGCACCCTGTCATGGCAGTGTGAGACCCTGTGTCTTCTGATTGGAGCTTTATTGTGTCACACCCATGAAGTACAGGAACAATGCTACTCTTCTCAGCCAGATCTCATGCCCGATTAAATCATGAGCATAAGATGGAATGTTTGTAACTCAGGTCCCAGAAATTAAAACTATAAAATATTGCCTATTGTGAAAACATTAAAATTACAAATTTAAATGCAAATTTGAGTATTTATTGGGCAGCATGCATTGTACTCCTGAAATAAGACCCAATCCTTCACTTGTTATTTCTCACATTGGCTAGGAGATAGGCAAGTGGCCAAGAAAATTCAGACAAAGAGAAGTTTAATAACTTTTATGATGCAAATCTGCAATAACTCTTTTACCACCTCTACTTACTTCAAAGTAATGCATTCAACAGTCTAATGATTAAAATATAGGTATAGATTTTAAGCAGTAATGGAATTAATGTTAGTAATAGCTTGTTTCATTTTGAATTATTTGATTAGATTCATGAGTTTAATATTACATTGAAATTTATCGGTATGTTTAAAGTAGTAATTCATAAGACTTTAATTATACAGATAGCTCACTTTATATATTCTCTTTTGCATCATGATCATAAAATACAAATTATTGTAAAATACAGAATACTTCTTGAGTATCTCAGAAGCCTAGAGATTGTTGGCACAACTTTTAAAAAACAAATAGGGGTTCCATTTACATTACTCATTAGCATTAGTCCTACCTCAATTTAAATGGAAATTTTATAATTAGTTCAGGCAGTACTTCTGCATTGGGCATTTCTTCTTAGGTAACATCATATGACACAAAAGATTGCCATTTACTAAATCACATAGCCAATAAGCCAAAAATATGGCCATTAAGACTTTTAATAATACAACTCTCTGCTTTCTGTTTTAGATTCTTCCTAAGCCTCCCCAGTGAAATCAGATGTACACTGTTTGTGTCTAATTATAGACTAATGCTGTTGTCCAGTAATAACAGCAATACTTCCTGACTTCCTTTTCTAAATTACACATTCAGTTGAAATTTTAACTGTAATAGTGTTTCTTTTATGAACTTGGGCTCCCTATGTTTGGTGTGTGAATGTCTACAATTGTAATTTCTTCTTGACAAACCTTCCCTGTAAGGAGTATGTAGTGTCCTTCCCTAGCTCTTGTGATTAATTTTGGTTTGGAGTTTATTTTGTCAGACAGCCATACCTGCTTGCTTTTTGGGTCCATTTACTTTAAGTGTCTTTTTCCACCCTTTCCCCTTGAGGTGGTATCTTATCCTTGATGGTAAACTGTCTTTCTACAATGCAGCACAAAATTGGATCCTGTTTTCTCATCCAGGGTTAGTATATGTCTTTTATATTGGGGAATCGATACCATTAATATTGAGTTATTAACTAACAGCGTCTACTTTTTCCTGTTATTTTGATCTTATGGTATGGGTGATTGTTTATCATTCTTTTGATCTTTTAATTTACTTTTCTGAGATTGTGTGTTCCCTGTGTGTTTTTGGATGTAGCTAACCTTCTCAGACTGAAGTCTTTTTTCAGTGCCAACTGTAGAGCTGGGTAGATAGAAGTTTCTTAAATTTGGTTTATCATGGAATATTTTTTCTTTCTACATTGATTGTGATTGATAATTTGTTGGATATAGTAGTCTGGGCTGGCATCTGTGGTCTCTTAGAGTCTGTAGCACATCTGTTCAGGCCCTCCTGACTTTAGAGGCTCCATTGAAAAGTCAGGTATAATTCTAATAGGTCGGCATTTGTATGTTACTCAGTCTTTTTTCTCTTACAGCTGTAAGTATCCTTTCTTATTTCTGTACCTTTAGAATTTTGATTGCTATGTGTCTACTCTGGTCCCGTATATTTGTTGTTTTGTTTGCTTTTGGGCCTTTATGAGAACCTCCTTTTGATTGGGGTAATTTACTTCTATGACTTTGCTAAAAAATGCTTTATTTATCTTTGATCTGGGTTTCTTCTCATGCCTCTATACCTATTATTTATGGGCTTGGTCTTTTCATAGTTTCCTAGATTTCCTGTATGCTTTGATCCTAGATTTTCAGACCTAACGTTTTTGATTGAGATATCCATTTCTTCGACCTATCTTCAAGACTTAAATTCTCTCTTCTGTGTCTTATAATCCATTGGTGAGGTTTAATTACTGAAGTTTTTGATTATATCCTAAGAAGTTTGTTTCCATTTTTATTTCACTTTGGCTTTTCTCTAGTGATTTTATTTCTTTGCCAAGTTTTACTGTCATGTCTTGAAGTGTTTTCACTATTCCATTCTCCTTTTTTCATGGTCTTTGTTAGGGCATTATTCAAGCGCTTTGGAGGTCCTCAAACAGTCATAATCGTTATTTTCAAGTCCTTGTCTTGTGCATCAGCTACACTGCTTTTCCCAGAGATGACTTCAGGGTTGCTGGCTTCCTGAATAGGCATATTTTCTTGATTACACGTTTGTGTTTTCTTTCGCGGGAATCCAGGTATCTGGAATTGTAATACGTGTAATAAATGTGTATATAATATATCAAGGTGTATGATGCTACCTAGTGTTGTCTTTGTTTGATGTCTGGTTGTTCTTTGCTTGCCCCTGATGCTAGAAAACTGTGGTGACTCTAGGATTCCTGGCACAGAGTGTTCTTGTGAGTCAAGGGTTAGAGGTGCCACAGGTCTCCAAAGGCAGCTGGTTCCGGGCAGGGAGACGTACGGCGGTCAAGAGACAGAGACACAGATAGGCACTCCATGCAGAGTGAGGTTGGATATTTATTTAGTAGGTTATGGAAGGGAAGGGGAGAAGAGAGAAGAACAGAGAGAGGGGCAGAGAGAGAGACAGATGGACAGGGATAGACAGAGAGAGAGACAGAGAGAAAGGGAGAGATGGAAAAGGAAGGAACTGGGGCTGGAAGCTGAAGATCAGCTTACTTCAGTGAAGGGGCAAGAGTGGGCGTGGCTTGTCTCTTAAAAAGACAGACCAGATTATTGTAGGGTTCGTAGGGAATCGAGGTGGGAGGAAGGAGGGGCTCCTGCAGGACAGCTGCAGCAAGATTAAGAGCAGGTCTGGAGAGACTGGAATGAAAGAGGTGGATAGCCATTTTCTAGGTAGTCTTAAGTTGCCTTGTACAGAGAACCCAATTTCCATAGCTTGAAGGTAGCAGAACCCCACAAGTTAGATTTAGAATTGTCTGTTAATGACACTAAAGTTATAGAATACCAGTTACTCAATTTGTTTAAAGAGACCTGTCAAAACTCTGATCCAATTTCCCTTCAAAATAAAGAATATTCATAATCATGTGAAAGCAATTGCAGCTGTTTTACATAATTTTATTTTCTCCGTAAGATGTATTATGGGATATAAATTGTATTGTAACTCCTTTAATTCAGAACACACTTACAGTTTTTCTAATTCTATTTCTATTTTTATACTTTTACTTTCCTTTTAAAAAGCATTTTAATTCAAAACATGAATTGGCATGAAAATATTTTATCTCTGGTTGATTTTCAAGTACACATTAAACAATTATTTATATGATATATGATCTGCTCCTTGAGACAAGTCTGTTAAATCGGGGGTTTAAGATGTTATCAACAGGAGATAGTCCACATTAAGATGGAGTTATCTGTCCATCGCTGCAGAAGAAATTTCCCCAGTACCTGGCAGCTTAAGTCAACAGACATTGATGGTGCGCATCTCCCGAGGGCAACGTAGGTGGGGGCATTGGCTCAGGGTTTCTCTAGAAAGGCAGTCAAACTGAGACTCCCTGGGTACAGCTTCACCAGGCTTGGCTGGCACTGAGGACAGGCTTTTGAGCTCACTGAAGGGACATTATTAGCAGGCTAGTTCTTCCCTTTGTGACTGTTTCTGCGGGGTTGTTCAGGACAGATGTGGCTGGCTGCAGAGTTGGAACAGAAGAGCTCAAGGTGAATGAGAAAGCCTCTTCACAAGGAAATCTCCGAGTGCTCTATCCATCCCGTTCCCATACTCTCTTGACCTCTCAGATCAATCTTAGCCTAACGAGGAAAGAACCACTTGGGGTGCATATTCCAAGAGGGCTGGGGATTTATTTAAGCAGTGTGTCTTGGAATAAAATTTTCTCATCACAAAGGAGATTAAAATAGAAAATATCTTTTAACTATATCAAAATCTATCAATTTCTTTTCACTGCCAGGAGCACTGTTTATCTCTCTGAATTCTATAATCATCAAATCGCTAGACACCAATATGATTTAAAGGAATTCTCTACTTTGTTTTTTAAAAAATATATCATTGTTTTTTGGATGATGCGCTTTTGATTTTAAAGTGACATAAACTTTATAGAGTGTTATTGTTTAAAAGAAATGTCTGCTTTCTTACACACACATCCTTTGAATGTACTTGACTTTAATAACATCATACTTAATAATCTTAACCCCTTAATATCTGAGTTGCTTATCCGTCTTGGTTTCTGTTTCACTTTTTCCAGGGTCTCATATAGCCCAGGCTGGCCTGGAGGTTGCTGTGTGTGGAAGGATCCTGCTCCTGCTGCCTCCACCTCTATCTACTAGGAATGGCAGGCTGTACCAACTTTCTCTGTAGTCCCTCTGTGCTTTCCCATTTTGTTAAGTTATACTATTGCTTCTTTATTCTCAGAGCTTTTAAAAAGCATAAGTATCTCAATAGTATCTCAGATCACTTGAAACCCGAGTAAGGTTGATGCCATACCATGGGTGCTAAGAATTCTGCAATGGTTTTACTACAACTGATTTTGTTGAACAATGGTTTTTTTCCCCCTAAAATAATGGCATTATTTGATGACCTTATTTTTTTTTTAATCCTAGGTCTCCTAAAAACCCAGAACAGAAGATCATTAAAAGAGTGATTGCTCTTGAAGGTGACATTATAAGGTAGGTGCCTAGGCTACTGCATTTAACTTATAATCTAGTGCTTTTTGGTTTGTTTGTTTGCTTTTGTTTACCAGAGAAAGGGTTTCTCTGTGCAACAGCCCTGGCTGTCCTGGAACTCCTTTTGTATACCAGACTGACCTCAAACTCACTGCAATTCATCCCCCTCCCCCCACAGTTGCTGGGATTAAAGGTGTGTGCCACCACCTTGTGGCTCACAGTCTTGTGTTTTAATTGGTTTTGGGTCATTATTTGAAATTAAAGTAGAAAATGCCTTGGGGTCTGGAACTAGGACAAACTTCACTTGGGTGTCTACTTCAGTGCACATGACTAACCATTCAGGATGGAAGGTGTGTATGAAATTACTGAGCATACTTTTGTCCTTAGATTATAAAACATAGGATAACTGTTAATGCAGGATCCGCCACATGCTCTGGACATTCAACCACTGCTTTCAGGTACCAGAACTAGCACAGTTGTTTTTAATATTTAATAATTTTTAATGGTGACACTAACACCCATTTTATAATATTTGAAGAGCATTTCATTATTTTAAAATCTAAACGCAAAGAGTGACAGGACTCTTAGCCATCGAGGTAGAGACAAGGTGGATAGGAAGTGAAACTTGCACTTCTGGGTTCATAATGAGTGTTGAAACTGCAGACAGCACTGGAATAATCAAGAATTTGAGGAACAGATAGCAAATTCTTATTTATTGCTCCTGCTAATATAAACGATATTTGAGGATAGACAAGAAAGATATTAGTGCATGATGCATGTCATTTTGATTGCCTATTTATGGCCAGGTGTACACAATAGAGCAGACAAGTGCTTTGAAAATAATATTCATGAAGTTTTCCGATCTTGTTTCTACCCAAAAGTCCCTCCTAAAACTACCTGTGTTAATGATTCCACAAGCAAGACAAGCGAAATGATAAGAGCCCCTGTCAGTTTCGAACAGAATTGAGATCGGCAGTTATGAAAAGATGGCCTGGGGATCCCCAGAGTCCCCAAGACCTATTTTGGGTTCTGTGAGATCAAAACTACTTTTTTCCTAACAAAAGATGTCTTTTGTCTCTCTTTTTAAACTGTAACCTGTTGTATCTATAGGATGGAATTTTCCAGATGTGTGATATTGCCAAAGATAGGATAATGAAGCAGAGGCCAGCCCAGTTATCCTCTAGTTCTCCAGACGTCAAAAACATTTACACTGACCTGCTCTTGCTTTTACCACTAAAAAATACTGCGATTTTCATTAAAATATACTTGATACTATAATATTTACTGCTTATTGAATTCAACATTACTTTTTAAAATTATTCAATTATTTATGCTTGTATACAGTGTCTTTCAATCAAACCTACCCCTGTTCCCTCGCCTATCCCTTGAGCCACTTTTCCCTCCCAAAGCTGTATCATGGGTTCTCTCTTTTTCTGTATTTTTATATAGTAAAATATGGTGGGAAGACCACTGTCAATAATAAGTGAGTTAGTAGGAAAGTGGTTTGTTTCCATTTCCTATAAAAAATGCATTATGGTCAAAGAACCTGGTGGCTTTCTTTTTCTTTTATCAAGAGTCATCCTAGGATTCTGATTTCCTTCAGAAACAGAGACAGGTATATAATCAGAAAACCCCTCACTCCGGGTAGAAGTATCCAAGCACACCTTTATTGTCTGGAGACTGTGTGAGTGTGATGTGGTCTCATTAAAGAATGAGTCAGCACCCTTGAAAACATTGTGTTCAGCTACTGATCTGAGTCACAACAGACTACAAATTATATGGTTCTGTTTCTGCAAAATTCCCAGAATAGGTAAATGCACAAAACACAGGTTAACTTCCCACAGGCGTGGAAGAGGGTCATAGAGGGACTTTTAATGGGTACAGGTCATTTACTTGTTTTTAAGGGGTATAAAAATGTCCTTAAATGTATTGTGGTGACAGTCATACAGTTGCATATGAAAAATTATTGATCTGTACATTTTATTTGGGTAGATTATATGCTATGTGAACTACATCTCAATAAAATTAATCTTACACAACAAAAGAAGACACAAAGCAAACACAATTTATTCATGTAAAGTAATCTAACAAAATTAGTAATTTCAGTGAATCAGGGATTTTTTTTTATTATAATCCAAAGTGAACTTTGCCATTTCTCATCATCAGTCACTAGCTGATTAGTCAGCAATGTGAGATCACAGAAGTCTGCACAAGATGAAACTCCACTGCAGACCCGAGGAGATATGAAGCATTGTTCTTTCTCAGTGCATCTACATTGGGGTCATACAGCAGAGGCAGACCCAGAGCCACAGGGCAGGCAGCTGGGCCAGGGTTGGGCTCACCTTCTTACTGGATACTGTTGAAACCCAAGCAGAGAAGCCTGCAAAGGGATGCCAGGGTCTGTGTCCCCATTGTCTGCCTTTCAGGGCCTCAGTCATGGAGACTGAGTGACTGAAAAGAAGAAAGGACATAGAGTCAAGGTATTTCCACTGGAAAGTCTTTTTGTTGATTAATTAGAAAAGTAGTCATTCTTATGGCTTAGTGTCTTTGAAGGGGAAAAAGAGCATTCCTTGTCTTTGACACTTTGGCACCTAATTGCCCTAGGCTTCCTGGCTTTGAGTTAGTGTGATCCTTCAGTGGTCTCTAACATTATTGAAAAGTGTTAAGGGGACAGACAATTAGATAACAAACATTCCCTTATAAACTTACTTATTTTTGTTCGTGATCTCTTTCTTGCAATTCCATGCCAAGAAAAAAATTAGGAAGATGCTGCCTATCAACCACAAGGGGTCATTAGCCTGACAGTGCCCTCCCTCCTGACAAGGGAGTCTGGTCCTGTTTTCCATGGATATTAATGAATTTCCTAGGAGGCAAGCTAAAATCAAGTGTGAATTTTCAATATTTGCTTTCTTGGAAAAAATTTGATATTTCTTAAGGAGAGAGAGAGAGAGAGAGAGAAAACTTCCTATATCTGAAGTACAGCTTTAGGATGTATACGGTAGATGGACTGCTGGTCTACCTACTGATTTGTTGCGTTTGGGATTAAGTGTCCTTCCCTGGTGTGGCTCCCATGGCTCGGGAGACCAAGTGACCTGAAAAGCACCCTATAGTTAAAAGGACCCTGTTGTAAGGGACTCATAGGAATGATGGGTACCAAGAGGGTCACAGAGTAGAGCATTGCAAGGTAGCAATCACTTAGCATTGCCTTTTCAAGTCTCAGTTCACTGAAACCGAAATCTGTTCTCTTCAGTAGTGGCTTTTACTCTGCTCCCTAAGCAAGATTAAGTTTTAGAAGTTTTGCTTTTTATTATAGAAATCGTTTTGCTCTCTTGAATTGCTATGAAGAATACCCTTGTTCACAAATGCTGTTAAATTTTGTAGGCTAAATAGGATGAAATGGAAATATCAGTTATAATATTTGGGGATTGGGGTTATGGTTGGTTTTGGTTATAATTTCCTTCCCAGAGAGCTTTTTTGAATTTCTATTTTAAGAGATGTTACAAATATAAATAAATCACACACCAAAATTAACTAGTCCCAAAGACTATAAAGAAAGTTTTTATATATTTATATTTGTCAAACTACTCAAAATATACTTCTCAGAGGGAATTTATTTAAAAGTCAAAGAAATGTGGACTTTAGTTTTAGTTTCAGAAGTTTAAACACCTAAATATGGGGGGTGGGGTGGTTGAGACCGGGTTTCTCCACGTAACAGATCTGGCAGTACAGGAACTCACTCTGCAGACCAGACTGACCTTGAACTGATAGAGCTCCACCGGCCTTCACCTCCCAAGTTCTGGGATGAAAGGCGTGTGCCTTTAATCTACTTGCGCCTGATGAACGCGTGGAGGTAACAACGGAAGAATAGTAGAAGTGAAAAGAGGTAAAACAGTCCCTGAAAACTTCCCTAAAATTTGGAAATTAAGGGAAGGAGACATTGAAGGAAAGATAATCAAACCAAAGAAACAGCCAGTGCACACCTGAAATAGAAACAGACTACGTGAGAACTCAGGGTCTTGTAAGAAGCTAGCACAAGGTAGAAGGTAGAAAGTTGACATGACTGATAAGTTCTTAGAGGTTTGTTGAGCTTTGTGGGCCCAGGCAAGGACTTCAGATTTATTTCAGTTGATGGCCAGCCAAGTGTTTTTGAAGGATTGTTGTCTGCAGTATGCAAAAAGGGTAAACAACAACAGCGTGGCTCTGCCACCCCAAGAGCGGTCTCTCTCGGCAAAGTGCAGTCAAGCTGCTCAGGAGAATAGTTAAGTGCCTTTCTTCACGGCATGCATGCTGACTACTTTGATTTCTTTCCAGTGACCCAGATAAAAGCAGTCACATTATTTATAATCCACTGATTATGATTTATATTGACAAAGTAAAATATAGAGTTCGAAGTATTTGTTCAGTGAGTTCTGCCAATACCTAAGATTGGAAATGAGGAGACGTTGAAGGGTCTGGATTTTGTAACGTAATGTCAATATTGGTTAAAATCACAAGGTGACTCTCTTGAGTCTCTGAAGCTCTTAGGTGAAAACTTGTTTTCATAGTGTTGACCCTACTGTGTATGCTTATCCATAACAGTAACAATGAAAAGCTAATGAAAATCCTATTTAGCCATACTCATTAGTTCCACCATAGCTCTTTGCTTTCTCTTAATTTGTTATGACTCTTACAGAAGCACTATTGTAGAAAAGCATGAGATGAGGAAAACTATTCCTCCCCTCCCGCATGTAAAGGACATCGACGTGAGTCAGCCACAGTTGAAACGTTGGAAGTATCAACTCTGCCTATAGGGACAACTGTATGTCTGTTTCACAGATCTCAGGCCAGTCAACAGAGAGGCCTTGTATCATGCCCTCTCTTCTAGAATCTGGAGTTCCGTATAGTTAGCAATGCCACTGTAGTAAGTATCTGGATTCTTCTTAGTCCCCATGGACAGGCTAACCATACAGTTTATCACTTGAACCATGTCACTCTGCAGAGGGAAGGAGGTAAGTGTTAGTTAT